CTCGGCTGAGAGAGAATCGACACAACCGGGAGCCTACTCGGCGAAGGAGCAGCCGGAATGGATTGAGCCGGAGCTGGATCAGGAGTCGACGGAAGCTGCCGATGCTTGTGGTGTCGGTGCGTCTTGTGATGTTTCTTGTGTTTCTACCGGTAGGACTCGACGAGGCACGATGTTTGCGATGCTGCTGCTTCCCCGAAGCCGGCGCAGAGGCAGAACTCGTCCCGTCACCAGAATCCTTCGATGAAGGCCGCGAGGAGTGGCGATCACTCGGCGGCAAGCACTCATCACTCATCTCGTCGTCAGAGCCGACGATTGCCGCATGAAGGCTTCTCGCTTTGGCAGAACGACGAGCATCTGCGGTCGCTGAGTCGGAACCTGAAGGACTCTCAGCCGAGTTCTCCGATAAGGAAATGGGATCCAAGAGCGACCCAGCGGCAGGATTCGTCGAGCCGGTGGACGGTGCGGAACCATCACCAGGCCCTAACACCTCGTCGTCAGACGCGTCGAGGTCCTCAAGCAGCTGAGCAGTCACAGTGCGGGCGGTCGCAGCAGATCTCCGGATAGGACGCCCAGACGGGGACGTCAACACGGCCGTGGTAACAGGGAGAGACGGTCTGAGGACACTCACGGCCGGAGTCACTAGGTCAGTCGGCGCGGTGGATACGCTCAGACCCCAAAAAGATGAGACGAGAGAGGATCGGCCAGAAGACGACTGGGAGCGCCCAACCACCGTTGGCACGACGCTGAGTGGTGCACTCGACTGGGGCAACCCAGCGGAGATGGGCGAGGTCGAGCCTGGGGCACAAACGCTCGTAGCCGGGACAGGCAGCGAAGCCACGACATCGGATGAAGATATCGGCGGTGGGCGAGTAGCCGCGACTGACAAAGTCACCGGAGGACCAGAAGACGAAGAACCCGCCGAAGTCGTCGAAGCAACCGCAGGAACGGTGTCGGCGGGCGGCTCAGGCAACTCTTTCTCGAATTCAGCTTCGCTCGAAGCGTCATCGTCGTCTTCAGAGCGAGCAGAGACAGCGGTCTGAGTAGCAGAACTCAGCTGAAGGTGACGAACCTTCTTCCGCCGAGTCCGACGACGGGACTTTCCAGAGCGAGGCCTTCCTCCATCGGATACAGTAGCTTACGGAGAACTTGAGTGTAAAAGGGCACTGATAGCCTCGTGTCCATCCTCCCCGGGAAGTGGACAAGCGTACGGTTGAGGCGGATGCGACGCCGGTGGACGATGACGAGGACCTGCAGCTGTGGGAGACTTGGGGTTGGCATAACGTCGAAGCCGATGAGTTGAAGTCAAGTTCGCCAAAGGCGTACGGTGAAGCTGGGCAAGAGTCGGCTCAGCCTGGCTCGTAGCCGCTGCTGAGCTGACTGGAGCCTCCACCGAGTCTGCCAATGAAGTCACCGAAGACGCTTGACTAGCTAAGGGAGCCACACTAGGACCGATGACGGAGCTCGCTACTGGAGCATCTCGGCGAGGATGGACAATCAACTCCAACCGCCGAGTTTCACCAGCTGGGATGTTGAGAACCTCAGGGAAGCGAGACTCCAAGACACGACACAGCCGAGCGTTAAGGAGAATGTCGGACGGATCAAGTCCAGGAACCTGCAGTCCACCGCCAGCAGCAGCAGCCATGTGAGGGTCGTGCATCGGAATAATGCCATTCCGACGGATGAGCCGCTTCTGTCGCAAGATCACCGCCCGCTGCTCAGCGATCACCGACTGAGCGTGCCGCAAAGGTTGAGTGCCGGTGGAGCTGTACAACCGCACCGACTCCTGCAGCTGTTCGAAGTGCTTGGAAGCAATGCCCTGAAGGGTGACGAACGCCGCATCCCTCTCAGAAATGGATCGGAGAAGGACGTCGATCTCGGCGTCTCGATCCAAGACTTGCTGATGATGGAGCTGGGCCTGACCCAACGCAGCGTCAACCTTGCTCTGCTCAGCTGCGATGGCCCGAGCAAGTTTTGCCTCACTCAGATCTACAGCCTATCGCAGTGACGCGAGGAGATTAGCCGACTGCGTGGCAGCAGCCTCCAATCGAGACACTTGCTGTTGAGCCGACGAGAGCTGAGTTGACAAGTCGACGTTGCTGAGAGCAAGCGAGTCCAGTCGCCGAGTCAGTGCGCGGTTCTCCTCCTGAGCAGCTTGATTGTCAGCTCGGAGATCACCAATGATATGTGGATAATCAAGAGCGGCGTAGTTGCCTTTCAAGATATCCAACAGTTCCCCCGCGGAAGCAGCATGCAAGATCGCTCGCCGCTGCACGGGATCGGAGGGCTCCACGGAACGAGTGAATCCGTAAGCCATGAGCCTCGCCAAGAAGGTCAATTCTTCTCGGCGCTCATACCCTTGCTCGTTAACTCTGGCCATGAGGGAGTCAAAACTCACTGGAGCAGCCGAGCTTGGCTGACTGGTGGCGCCCGAAGTGGTGTCGCCCGGCAAGCTCGGTGGACCAGGAAGGCGTACGCGAGAAGACCCCGCCGACTCTGCGTCAGACTCATGAGAAGCTGTCAGGTCGACCAACCCAGCTTCATGCCGGTCGCTGATCCCACGAGTACCGACGGGTTGAGGAATCGACTCAGCTAATGCGCCTTCACCTCGACGAGAAGTTGGAGAAGAAGGATGGCGCCGCGAGTTGTGCTGGAGTAACATGCGAGGAGTAAGGAGCTGCCAAGGGAGTAACAGCGGAAGCAACAAACGTACCGAAGAAGGTGGTGGAGAGCCGCGAGACGTCATCAGCCGAGTACGGACCAACGGTGGCAGAACCAAATGAAGGATTAAGACACTCACCAGCTCGGCTCGTATCATAACAGGGGCAGTTGTGGTGTAGGGATTTCCAGATTCGACCATACGTCGACCTACTTTAGGTCAAGAATCGGCTCGGTCTGACAACCCAGAGCTTAGGAGCAAAGGATCACGGTAAGTACTCGGCGATCTGTCCGGATATGCTATCCGGATAGCCGCTGAGCTCAACGGTCGCCGGAACTCAGCTGAAGGGTCGATAGAGATTCGAAACGACTACATTTCACTAGATATTTGTATGAAAAGCATAGGATACAATAGGGGGAGCCGAAAGGGCTCCCAGAAGATAACAGAGCAGAATTTTCCTAGTCCAAGACACGTGTACACTTTTCCGGTAAGTCCCTGCATAGGGCTGGATTATGCCTGCCGTCAATACTCGAGAGGCATAGCTTGTAGGGTATTGATTGGTAGCGCCAAAAGATTAGGTCGGTCCGGGTAGGACAAAGTCTCGCTACGTGCGAAAGAAAGTCCCGCATACTCAGCGGGCCGGTACGTCGGATAGCCCGGGTGCCGTAACACTTCTAGCTGAGCAGCCTCTGCGCTCGGTGACCTGTAAAAGCGCTCGCGCGCCGTCGTCCATCCTTTAATAGAGGGCACAGGGTTGTGAACGAGCTCCGCCGAACCAAACTCGGCGGAGCCTCGAAAGTGATCTGACTTGGTTAGTCGGAACCGAGTGGAAGCGCGCCACTCGTCTGTCCCGGAAGGGCCGGACCGCGAGGGGACCACCCTCTGCGCAGGCCATACAACCGCCGACCTAACTCGGCGATTTGTTGTGGTTTGTGTAAGGAATCCACATCTGACGGTATTTGTGTGTTCTACTACACCACAGAGCATCAGCTCCTCGGGCTAGCTCACATGGACAGCGAACCTCGTACCAGGCTCCATCTTGAAGCTGTGCAGCTTCTTCGAAGCGATGAGCCAGATCTTGAGCGTCTACCGGTTGAGGTGTACCTCGAGCTGGGTCCACGCAGCAGCGGCGGCCAGAGCTCCACGGATGATGACTTGGTACGTGAGACTCACATCTTCAGCGATTGCACCAAAGGCTTCCCAATCGTTGGTCTTCTATGCGGCCGCGGAGCGGTCACTCACTTGGTCAAACTGGGCCTTGACGATCTGCTGAAGAGGACCCTTCCGGGCGAGCTTCGTCCGCATGTTGAAGCCCCATGGAATTAGTTGTCTTCCACGAGGTTGTCGATACCGCCGGGCTCACAGCTGAATGAGAGTGGAGTGCGATGCGAGCGGACTTGTAGTCGATGTGATTCGATGAATGGAAATTTGAAACTGAGATTGATTGAGTTAAAAGTCTTAGTATATAAATCTGTCTCCAACATGCAGTCCCTAGTGCCCTCCCACCATTGTCTTTAAGTCTGCGTATACAGATTGGATCCTGGAACGGACATACTTAAGTACGGCAACATGAACCATGCTGCGGCTGATGATCCGTGTGCGAAGCACGCGGGCTTGAGCCCAGGACCAAGCATGGCTAAACCTCGCTCTGCCCAATAGGGTTAATGTTCAGGAAGGTCTGGTTTGGGTTTAGAAGGATGATATAACTCACGCCAAGTCCTCCACTTTTGGAGATTTGCAGTCCATTCCTCCCCTTACCATGTTCCAGGTAAAGTACTGCACCCCGTTTTCGCGCCGTTGGACCTTTGATAAACTTCCGGATATGATGATCTTGAATCTAAATGCATTATGATTTGTTAGCTAAAATCTGATTTATTTGCAAATCCTATATGGTCCACCCCCGCGAAAACGGGATTGTATCCTGACTGGAATACACCTTGTTCCGTACCCTTTACTATCCGGGTAGTACCCAAAACGAGACGAGTGAGCTAGGTGTTATGGAACGATTGTTCACAATATCGACAGAATTTCGTCGAGCCGCTAAGTGTACATGATATCAGTGGGTGCACATCTAGATTGTAGCCATTCGAACAGCACGAAGCACCGATAGGCTTCTACCTCTTGTGGGTACATCGAAGTCGAGTGCGTCATCGCGTATCCCGTTGATACTATCAACCCAATTATGGAGCAAAACCGACGCTTGACGCAGTCGAGAATTTGCGGAACGCAAGAGGCTCGACTAGCCATTTGCTGTTTGACATGCAGCTTTACCTCGCCATCTCAGTAGCAGCAGCGATCGCACAGGCGTCAGCTGCATCGACTTCAGCTTCACGTAGCGGGCTCAATGGCTGGTATCCCTGTTCCGAGTCCACCTTTGCGGAGGCTGGAGGCTCTGGTAATCAAGACGCAGAGTGCGCAGTCTACTCTGCACCGTTATGTTATCCTGGAGTTTGTACGACCGACTCCACGGTAGACATTTTCGTCAAGAGGGTTGCTGCTGTTGTCGGGACCGAAACAGCGACGAATGTGTGGCTTATGCAAGGCGGTCCGGGAGCTTCATCCACATCTAGTACGTTAGTTATTTACCTGGAAAACCTTCTGATACTGACCTTTATGGTGTTATTTGTTTTGGGACGATTCAGTGGAGTCGGCTATGGTGGAGCTACACGCTCGAATGGATGGGACAGTGAATGTGTACACCATGGACCACCGAGGTACAGGTCGTAGTACCCTGTTGGACTGTGCTGCAGCACAGGCAACTACGACGGGGTCTCCGTGGGGCAGTGGCATTGACACAAGTGAAGTCCCTGCATGCGCTCAAGCTCTGGCAAAGAAATACGGAAATCTGTCGTCGTTCTCCATGACAAGTGCAGCGATGGACATGGCCACGTTCATTTCCGACTACTCGAATGGAGCTGACACTATTGTGTATGCAGTGAGCTACGGTACTGCGTTGGTAGAGCGTCTAATTCATCTGGACCCACCTGAAGTGACGGGGTACGTGCTGGATGGAGTGGCCACGAGTTCCGGATCTTCTAAAGCGTTTGAGTACTTTTCAACGTGGGATTCTGATTTTGGCGACGTTGGCGACGCGTTCTTGGCGCTCTGTGAGACTCAAAGCGAGTGTAGCGATCGATTTGTATCCAACTCGTTGCCTGTCACGCTTCAGAATTTGATCACGCAGTTCGATAATGACCCAACGTCCACATGTGCTGCGCTTGTGAGTGACGTCTACAGTGACATGAGTTTTGAGCCAGTATCGTATACCTTACGACGGGCTCTGGGGTCTCTGCTACAGAGCTCGAACCTGCGCACGCTTCTTCCATCAGTCGTGTACAGACTGACCCGCTGTGCGTCCAACGATATTGCCGTATTGAGGCATTTCTTCACAACTTTGATCAATTATTTGTCCTGGTCCAGCGAAGACGACGCATTTGATTCGAGTTTACTGTACTACCTCATCGTCTTCTCAGAGATGTGGGAGACGCCCGAGCCGTCTATTGGTGAGATGGTTTCGCGCTTTACAGACACACGTGTGTCGAATGGAGGAACGTACGCAGATGTTCCACTTTATTGCGCTTTCTCCAAGGAAAAGTCTCCAGTGTGTGACCAACTCGACGTCGGGACTTACGACTCCAGTGGAATAATCTATGAACGTGATGAATACTGGAACAAAAGCGCCACAATTCCGGCTCAAGCAAGTGTGCTGCTATTGAGCAGCAAACTGGACCCACATACACCTCATAAATATGCTGAGTATTTGCTGGACGCTCTGGATGGTAGTAAGAAAGCGTTAATCACGTTTAAATACGCTACGCATGGAGCGCTATGGACGACGCCTTTGGACGATGAAGACGACGAAAGCGAGACGTGCGGCATGAAGATATTGGTCTCGTATGTAAGCAATAACGGTGACCTAAACGGTCTGGACCAATCCTGTGTCGATGAAGTGCCAGCGCTCGGTCTCACACCTCCGCTTGTCTATCAGTATTTCTTCTTGAGCACAAGTGATTCCTACGACGGAGATTACGACGAACGATTGGCTAAACTCGTAACCGGTTCCAGCTCGAGCTTTGCAGGGGCCGCCACCCCTCTGTCCAAGGGAAATACCAAGTACAAAGCCGCCTTCATTGCATTCCTTGTGCTTTTCTTGGTGACACTGGCACTCGCTGTATATTTCGCGTTTCGGTGGCTCAAACTAAAGCGTGAGAATACGAGGACGAGAGCGACGGATGAACTTCCGGAAGATATTGAGATTTCGACTCCACCAGAGATTGAAGCGGCTTCTCCTGAATTGACGATGGCTTTCTGCACGCAGAGACCAAAGTAAACGGGATAAATTCTGCAATTTTTTTAAAGATTTAGACGAGTTAAAATTGCTCAAACTGGCAAAAAGACGAATACTGAATGAAAAACACTAGAAGAAGCTCGCGTTAGCGTTCTTATGCACATGATAAACTTGAAGCAATTGATAAGTGAAGCAGAAGTTGGTGACCACTGTCGACAGACAAGTGAGCAATGTCGAGGTGGGCAGAGATCTTGTTTGCGGAGTGCTGTGTTGCTTCTACGCAGCAGAGGCCCCAGTTCTAATTGACTGCCTTTTTGCGTAGATAAGAAAGAAATACCTGAACAAAAATCCGGATAATCGAAGAAAACATTTTGAGGTGGATACAGCATAAGCACGAGTATGTCGTTGCTCGAGGGATAAAGGGATGTTGTTTTATAGGCTGATGATTGTGCACTGGTGGTCGTTTTGACAGATATAAGGAGCTACACGACCAGTATCTCAAGCTGTTTAAAGATAAACTGTCGGGTGAGAGGGCTGTTTTCATTGGCAATTGTCGTAATAATTTCAGCTTGTGCTTATATGCGTATCGCTGTGTGCAGAGTTCGTGGAATCCGAAGGAGCGACAATTGAGGAGTTTTTCAAGGAATACAGGGAGATCCATGACGGTCAATACACGGCTCTCTTCGAGGAGCATTCGTATGCCTGGTTCGTCGACCACTTGTTGGTCTACATGGACTACAAGCACTTCTACGGACTCACGGTCAACGAGGCCCGTCAACTTCATCACGCAGTGGCTCAAGCTGAAGTAGCACAGAGCAAAAACGAATTTAAAAAGAGGAATGTAGCCAAGTGAATGAGATACAGGTATTACGAGTGAATCCGACCGAACTGCCGTTTTGGTCCTATTCAATGAGTCACTCACTTACAAATTTCCTACTATCCTGAAAGGGTCACAATCATTTACCAGCAAAAAGTAGTTTGAAACTGCTTTGGGACGACACCGTCTATCTATCGCCATTTGACAGGGAAGCAGTTCATGGAGGCTTCATTTAATGCTGGAAAACTCTGTATTCTGTTGATGACTTATTGGTAAAAAGATAGAGCACGCACACCATTCACTTACGGTTTTCTGTTTCGCCTCACGCTTTTTGGACTCTAAACCCACTTTTAATAACTACCAAAATTAAAAGGCACAGCAAACGAGCTCGTCGAGATCTATCAGATTCCGATGTCTTTTTGCGATTGGAGGTAGAAACGAAAGTTTTTATAAAAACCTGTGGGATGATTTTAACGGTGCACGACTATTTAGGTCACACGACTAACTAGGGTGAACGGTGTACTGTCAGCAGACTCGCCAGAATCCGGTAGTCACCCACTCGAATTGTCGGTACCGGTAGACAAGATCTCGTTATACGCACCGTCGTACGGCTCGTCAGTGCCCAAGATACCGTACATATAATCAGTCGAAATCTTCCAGTTGAATCTCGGCATCTCACCCACACAAGTCTTGTCAAGACGGGCTAGATCTCCGCCATTTTTCACATATGATGCAAGTAACCTCATTCCACAAGTCTCGCTTGACGGATCCTCCTCCACAAGTTGAGTGGATACAATGATCCCATGCGTAGCGTAGTCAAAAGTAATAAGCTCCTTGTTGTCACCTTCCAGCACTTCGAATAGGTACTCGGCATGCTTGTGCGGTGTCTGTGGGTCCAACTTGCCACTTAGAAGCAACACACTCGCTTGTTTTGGAATTACCGCACTTTTGTTCCAGTATTCGTCGCGCTCATATATGATACCTTTTGAAGGGTACCTTTCCGATTTGATTTCGTTGCAAACGGGAGAGGGCTTTTTGGAAAAAGCACAGTACAGCGGACTCAATTTGTAGATTCCGCCGTAATCCCCTTCGTAGAACCCACCATCGGAGACTTCCACGGCTCTAAATCGTTTTTCCATCATTGGCCTTGCAATCGCGGGTGTTTCCCACATTTCCGAGAAAACGATGAGGTAGTACAGCACAGGGATCGGGAAATAAAATGCTTTATTTTACGGAAGAACGATCACCTGCGTAATAGCGACTGCAATACAACAGGAAACAATAATAATAACTTTGCAATACAATGAATATATTGGGCATATGCGTCTCCTCAACGACTGGCGAAATCGATGGCAACACCTCCCCGTAATCTGTGTCCCACAACGATATGTAAGGAAACCGACCCGCCGACGCTCCCGATGTCGTAGCAATGCTATCAAGAACATATCCGGTCACCGTCGGAGTGTCCAAATGCATTAGTCGCTCCACCAAAGCTGTTTCATAACTCACTCCGTACACCGTAGTGTTTTCACCGTTCGTATGTTTGGAGATGAAAGTGGCAACATCGGTGGCAGCACTGGTCATTGAAAACGATGACAAATCTCCGTACATGGAATGTAGCTCCTTTGCGCACGCAGCAACTTTTGTCGGACTCATCTGGTCACCGGGAGAAACCCCGGAAGCAGAAGCCTGCATGGCAGCACAATCTAAGCGAGTACTGCGCCCAGTGCCGCGGTGATCCATCGTGTACACGTTCACTCGAACATGTGCTAGAAGAATACCCAGGACCACCCTGTAGGAGCCAAACATTCGATGCCGCGGCAGGATCACCAGTCGTGGCTGGGAATCGCTTTACAAAAATCTCGACAGTCGAGCTCAACGAATCTGAAGCCTTACATATACCAGGGTGGCACAAGGGCGCGTGGTAGATAACGCACTCAGCGTCCTGACCGCTCGAGCTCCCTGCGTCGGAAAACGTGTAGTCTGAGCACGGCTCCCAATCGTTAGCTTGAGTTTTCGTTGCAGTGGTTTGTCCGAAGAGCATGCACACAGCCACGATGGCCAAACGGTGGAGCTGCATTTCGTATTACGACGAAGTGAAGGCGACGGTGCAATTCTGGAGATAAGGCTCTGATCTCCAACTGTGATGAAAAGTAGATTCCACTTCCGTCTCTACGAATACGACCTAGCGATCGAGTGCTTCTAGGACCTAGAAGCTCCTAGAATCTAGGTACATGTACTGTATAAAGCTACTAAATCTTACAAAGCCTGGCTGGTAAGTTCAACAGGATGGCGGTTTAATTAATAAGGCACGTGCTGCTGCGACCGACTGAGCGCACGTAACATCGACTGCTTTTACAACAGATTGTAAAAGTCGATGCTATGTATGGTCGGTCGAACAGCCCATGGCAAACTTTCGGTTAAGCATACCGGTTGAGCCATACCCGAATGTTTGCGACCCGAAAAAAAGAAGCTGACAAATTCAGATAATATGTGCATTTGAAAGTATTAAATTAATACTTTGATACTATTAATGTTGGAGGTTCCACACATACTCCTGCTCAGCTTCGAATGTTGGATGCCTAGAATACACATTCAATAAAAAGAGTAATTGAGGGTGTACATGTAGTTCTGATAGTCTAGAATTGCCTGTTCTCCAAAACTCAATTCAAGCGTTTTCCAGATGTAATACTCTGCGACTACATGGGTAAAACAGCACTATAATGCCGATACTCTAATCAAAAATACGTTATTAGGAAAAAACCCAAAGTGTTTTTTCTTAAATATTTGGCTTTTCAAAAGCTGATGGTGATACTTTAAGAACGGACGGGGCAAATCAGGTTGGGGGGTTGCCTTATCACAAAGTTTGGGCTAAACATTCATTTTGCTCACCAACGATACGCAGTGGGCTACTATCGGTACCATAAACCGGTGCTCTTGACTCAAGGACCCGTACCCTCAAGACTCTTGAGGGTACGGGTCCGCGACCTATTAATAGGGTGTAGTTAGCCGACTAAGCCGCAGCAACTTCATATTCACAACAATGCGCAGGATCTTCCTTTCGGCTTCAATGGCCATAGAGCGGCCAGTCACAGCAGATCGTCTTGGTTTCACTAAGGTTATTAAAAGGGATCCATACACCCAACAAGTTACATGTATGTTTCGTCTTATAAATAGCCCGTGGAGCTGTCCACAGCAAAACGACAAATCCTACGGTCCAAGGACAGAATAAATAAAGATACATAATTCATCTTCAAGCTGACGGTAAACAATGTGGTCTATGGATAAGGTTAATAGGTAAGAACTAGGCCAACTTCAATCGTGAACGCTCGACAGATCATTTAATAGAGGAATTTATTAACCCCTCTAGCCCCGCGATTTAAGGCAAAAGTTACCCTGTACTATACAGGATAGTGTTTTATCTTGATTTTACTATTTGCGGAGTTTTGCGAAGCTCACAATCCTTACTCCTTATCTACCCTGTTCCGTACAGGTTATCAGTCAATGTACGGGATCGTGTACTCTGTATTAACCAGGATTAACACAATGAAGATGTAGAGAAAATTTCAAAATTCTACATGCATTCACTCAAACGGACTACAATCATTCCTAGTGTAACGCGGTTGACACTTCATACAGCTTTGTATTAGATGCACGCAGTTTCAGTACTGCCTACGTCTCCTGCACTAACCTCTATTTCTGCCTCCCTTGAAGATTCGTTGGCCGAGCTTTCTTCTTCATCGCTGTCATCAATATTTTCTCCAGTGCGGCGCGAGCTTGAGCCGCTTGGTGAGCGCATGCAAATTGTCTTCAATCCAGGGGGTATACGAGCACCAGCGCCCCAAAGGTTGTGCCAAATCTGGCTGCAAGTTGCTGAGTTTATTGATCCCGACGGGTCGTGCTGGCGAACCTTTTGGCATAGGTAAATCTTTCCTCGTGCCCCCGACTGGCGATTAATCCTTTCCTCTGAGCACTCAACGCAGTAAAACGTAGTCTCCCACGGTGTCTTTTCCGGGCGAAGTAATGAACACACTTTGCATCCGTACTGACGTCTTTTGCTCGATTCTTTTCCGGTTTTTTCTCTTGTCGTGCGAAAAATATCCACTTGGCGAGGTGTGTGATGGGCCGGGAGTGTGTAGCGAGGGTGTGTCGACAGCACAACGCTTGTATCAGCCAAAGCTTCGACAGATAGGTCTGATTCGAAGTCGGCAACTCCCACGTTCAG